CCCCCCCGCCAGGCACATGTCTGCACCTCCGCTTGTAAGAGGCTCTACGTCAGCGACTGGATGCTCGCCATCAAGGTCCAGTGGAAGTTCTTCAAGAGGAAAAGCGCCCCCGCCCCAGGCTTCCGCGCCCGCGTCCGTCCCGCTTAGTGCCCGTTTTACCAATAAACTGAGCGACCCCAGAGCCGTGTGCGCCTGCTGCTGGGCCTGTGCTCCTTCGCTCGAGTCCTGTCCCCGTCCTGTCGTCCTGCCAGGCTGTCCTGAGCCGCGCAGGGTGCAGGTCAAGTCACAGAAGAGGTGCTGAGTGGCCTGGGGGCTCTGAGGAGGCCGGGCTCCTCCCCAAGGATGTTGCACACACACACACACACACACCCCTTCACCCAGGTTCCCGGCTCCCTCTCTAGAAGCCTGTTCTGCTCCTGCAACCTGCACCACCCCTGGGCCAGGTCTTCAGCACTGAGGTGCCGGAATGCCTGTCCCAGAAGCAGGGAGACCAGTGACTTTTGTCAGTGGGGCTGAGTGTTCTGGGTCCTCACTGGGGGGGTCCCTGATAGGTCTGGGCCAGGATATGCCTGACCTTGGTCAGCAGGACAGGGAGATAGCAGGTCTGCTCTTTGTCCGCACATCCCTATCCAGGAGGAAGCTGCCTGCTGCCCACGCCTTCTTCCTGCAGACAGAGGCTGGTGGGGGTGAGCGGGTACCCTGCTAGGCTCCCGGTGCCAGGGCCTCTGTGTGGTCCCCGGTTTTCTGGCCTGCAGCAGAGTGGACTGTGGGCTTCTCTTCAGGGTGGGCAGCAGGTTGCTCACGAGGTCCCAGTGTGTCAGTCCCCCAGATAACAAATGACCTCTGGCTTCTGGAGGCCAGCTCAAACTAAGCACCCCTGAGCTGCAGTCAAGCTGTAACAGGGCTGCACACACTCCTGTTCCTGGTCATTTCCAGCTTCTGTGGCCACTGGCATTCCCTGTCTTTGTGATCGGACGGCTTCCTCTTCCGTGGGTCTCACATCTCCCCTTATAGGGCACGTGCACCACACTTAGGACCTGCCTGGATAAGCAGGTGAACCTCTTATCCAAAATCCCTTACTTGACTCACATCCAGAAGATTCCTTCTTGCACACAAAGCAGATCACAGATTCTAGGTGTTGGATTCCCAACTGCTTGGGCATATTCAGCCTCCTATGGTGGCTGAGAATGACCACAATGCAGCCCGGCAGAGAGGCTGTTTTGCCAGCAAGCGAGGGATATCCAGGAGAACCCTCAGAGGGGCTGCTGGCATCACTACCCAGTCCCAGACACTTGAAGGCAGAATCAGAAGGAGAGACCTGTGTCACCATGCAGCCATGAGATTTGGGAATCCGACTCCTCAAGGCTGTGCTGGTTGCACATAGATCCACAGGGTGTGTTTGTGCTGAGGGAATGTCACAGGGCTCCAAGGAACCCTAAACCCAACCCTAACCCTAACTTTAACCCTAATCTAGATAAAGATACAGGATCCCCTGTCAAATGTGAACTGATGAAATACCAAATAATTTTTTAGTATAAAAAATTTGGGACAGGGCCTGGGGATTTAGCTCAGTGGTTCCTGCCTTGTAAGTGCAAGGTCCTGAGTTCAATCCCTGGGCTACACAGTGAGTTCAAGACAAGCCTGAACTACATAGCAAGACCCTGTCTCAAAAAAATCAAAAACTGGGCTGAGGACTTAGCTTAGTGGCAATATTCCTGCCTTGTAAGTGCAAGGTCCTGAGTTCAATCCCTGGTAAAAAAAAAAAAAAAAAAGGGACAAATTTACAATAAAATATATTCATTGTTCACCTGAAATTCTGATCTGGCTGAGCATCCTGTATTTTATCAGGTGTTGCTACACAAGGACATCAGGTGTTTCCGATGGACCCTGTCCTGTCCTGGTCCTTCACGGACCACTGTTGTTGACAGCACCAAGTGTGATGCTGTCGAGCTTGTCAGCCCCAGGAAGTTGTCCTTGCACACTTGGCCCAGGTAGGCTTGGGGTCAGGCTGAAGAACTTTTTCAGCCTGAGACAGGGCAGGGGTGAGACCCCGCCCTTGCTAAAGTTGAAGGAAGCCCCCATGTGCATACCAGGTGGGGCTGTGAGGTCTCCTCACCTTCCTGTTGCAAACTCTGGAATCTCCAGGGACACTGGTCACTCAGATGCTGCTGCAGGTGTCAGTCAGCCCGTTGCCCGGTTCTGCCCACTGTGCTGGCCTGCGGTTTGTGTTGAGGCCACACTGTCTCCCACAAGATGGGTGTGCTCTGGGGGGGCACAGCCCCGGGAATTCCCAGGATGCCTGAAGACGAGGTGAGGGCACTCCTGTCCCCACTGGGTGCTTGGTGGGAGAGCATTGTGGCTGAGGTGGCCTGAAGGGTGGGGTCTCTGGAGAGACCTCTGAGCCCTGTGCCCCCTTCTGGAGAGGTGTGATGAAGCCAGGGCCAGTAAGGTTCAAGTTCTGAGTCTGTTCCCTGGTGACTCAGCTTGCTGCAGCCCCCGTGCCTATCTCAGGGTGGGTCCCCAGGAAAGGGCAGTGACCAGGCCTGAGATCCCAGCTTGACAGTGAGGTGGGGTGAGGGGACTACACTCATGGTCACCTCTGAGGGAGGCAGAACTTTACCACTGAGCTCTGAGGGGGACCACCCTTGTGTCCAGCTTGCACAGCTCTGGGAGGGTAAAGGCTTGGGGCTGGGGTGCAACACTGGGGGGAGTTCCAAACTCAGGGTGGGCACTGACTGTGTCAGATCTGGGAGACCCAGGGTTGAGATGTGGCCATCTGTTGGGGGATGCAGAGCACTGGCCTGAAGTGGCCACACTGTGATCATTGTCCAGTGCGGAGGTGAGAACATGGGACACCCCTTGGGCCCAGTGGGGTGGGACAGGCCTTTCCTCAGTGCAAGTGTGGGGGTACGTGAGTCTCCCACGGAGACTCAGTGGGAGCAAACTCAGGACTGGCCTCTGGACAAGGTGGTGGCAGGGTGAGGGCAGCTAACCACAGCTGGACAGTGCCCCACAACCTGGCACAGGCGGAACTGCAGTGTCAGGGTGAGGGCAGTTGGGCTGCCATTTGGCCTAGGAGGATCCCAGACCCAGGGAGGTGGCCGTGCAGTCCGAGGCGGTGGGGACTCCAGTGACAGCCTGGCGTCAGGGCATAGGGTGGGATTTGAGGGTGGGGGAGCACCCTATGCTGGATGAGTGAATAATTTGAAGCAGGCTCCACCAAGACACCAACTGGCAGCTTCAGTCAGCACTTTGGAAACCTCTGACATGCTCAGGGAGAGCAAGAACAGACTAAGAAGGCTTACTGAGTTGGCCCAACCCAGTCTGTCTCCTGCCCTGGCTCCCAGGGCTCCTGATACCTCCCAGCACTAAGGCAGGAGGGAACTTCCAAACCTTCCCCAGACTCCTCAGGAGTGGCGGCTGGAGGGCTGGGAGCCCTGCGTGGCTGTGCTGTGTCTGAACGATGGCTTCTGGGTTCCCTCCAAGGGGCTGAGCCTCATGGCAGATGATGATCCAGCACCAGAAATAACTATCCTTGAGGGTATCCCCCTTAGTATGTCTAGGGTGGGACTGTGGGTGTGCAGGATTAGTGTGCACGGTATAGGCTTGTGTGCCTGTGAGGCGTGGTTGTGTGGGGCTCTGAAGAACCTGGCAGGGTGTCCCAGAGCACTTGGAAGTCAGAACAGTACACGTGTGCACACGTGTGTGCATGAAGATGTGTTTATTGCAACATGCTCATGTGTACCTGTGCTGCCGGCTGGCTGCCTAGAGTCAGGATTGAGTCACCTGGGAGGTGACCACTGGGACAGGGAGAAGCCAGCGGGGTGGAGGGACAGCACTGGCTGGACCTGAGGGAAAGCCCCTCCTGTGAGACAGCAGCCAGGAGCCATGAGTGGTCTCCGAGGGCCTGAGGGGCTGGCTCGCTTCTGGCTGCATTTGCACCTCTCGTGTCTCACTTCAGGGAGGTGGCAGAGCGGGCCTTTGGGGGACGAGGCTGGAGGAGTTCAGGGGTGGGTGCTGCCAGGTAGAGATCAGCTGCATCAAACCAGGGTCCAGGCTTGAAAGGTGGGATCCCAAGGCAGGGACAGGAGGCATGAAGACCCGGGAGTGGTGGTGGAGCCCTGCTTGTCCCTTGTGCACCCCCAAGGCAGGTGAGGAGGGTAGGGGAAAACGAGAGCCTCTGTCCCGGCTGGAGCTGAGGAGTGGCCCCTCCTCCTCCTGGTGCTGTTCACCAGACTGGTGATGCCACAGCACCAAGGACGTGGTGGGCAGCAGGTCCTGAGGGTGTCTGTGTCTCATGGAAGGGAGGCAGCAGAGCTCGAAGGATGGGCCTGGAGGGCTTGGTGGGGCAGCAGCGTGGTAAACCCCCTCCGTGAAGATGGGCACGAAGCCCTTGCCAGTTGTGGAGGACAATGAGGCTCGGGGCGGAAAGAGAGCCTTGTGTCTGGAGGCTCTGTGGAGGGGCACTGTGGGCCTGAGGGCTGCGGGTCTCCAGGGCTCACCTGTCTGGAAGGGGTGGGTGGGCTGGGTGGCCACTGCTGAACTGTGCAGGGAGTGGCCACACAACACAGGGAGGTGGCGGGGACAGGAGCAGTGGCCCTCATGTCATGGTGGGGTTGTAACATTTCCCAGCCCATCCCGTAGTCTGAGTAAACCTTGTACCCTAGGGGTTGGGGAGGCATGGAACGTGTGCTTCCCAAATCTTTGGGGCTTGGCCTTGGGTTTCAGTGGTCCTTCCCTGCAGGCTGCGTCCGTATCCAGCTGGCACTTAGCCTGTCTTTGGCACCTGCTCCCCTCCTCTCGGGCTCCGTGTGTCTCCTGTGCCCATGCTCTGCATCTGGAAGTCTAGGACAGCAGTGTGTGGAGGAGATGCTCTGGTACCAGCTGGAGTTGACTGGGTTATTTTTACCTTCACACTTATATAATGCCTCTTCCTGCAAGGCACTGTTCTAACTGCTTCCCAAACCTTACCTCATCCACTGTCACAGCAATCCTGTGAACTACTCACTGCCTTTACCCCCATTTTACCGGTAAAAAAACAGGTACGAAGAGATTCAGCCATCAGCCCAAAATCATGCATGCAGATTAAGCTCACGGTTAAACACAAGCAGTGCCGTTCTGCTGTGAATGCAGCATTTCCGCTCAACTCAGAGACTCACGGCAGAGGTCCTGTGGTCACCTTGTGGAACTCTGATGCCAGGCCCATCCTGACACCTGCTGGGGAGGCCGTTGTGCAGGTGCTGCCTGTGCACAGCCTCTCCCAGGGCTCTTGCCTTTCTTCTCTCTGCCTGTCTCTTGTCTCCTTTTCCATGGAAATTCCCATCCCTTGGCTTGGGTCTTCTCAAAATCCATTTTTTATGCTAAGATAGGAGTGAGTCACACACCACAAACATTTGCATTTTAATAAAGGGAATTATTAATTTAAATTTCTTAACTCTGGCACTACTGATATCTGGGCTGGATAATTCTCTTGGAGGGGCATCAAATGTCTCCAGACATTGCCAGATGTTCTCTTGGGGAAACCGCTGCTTGTGAGAGTGGCTGACCTAAATGGCTGTCATCTCTGTGAGGGGACAGCAGGAAGCGGGGTCAGAGCCAGCGTCTGGGGTTGGAGCCAGCCTGTCTGAGCCGCAGGGACGAACACACTACTCTAACCTTTACTCACGGGCAGGTTTGTAAAAAATCCTTCTGAGA